TGTAGTACAGTGCAGGGTTTTCTCTGGGGGCTGTCATCCACCAGCAGCAACTGGGCAGCCTCTAAGGCAGAGGTGATGCTAAAAAGCAGGACAAACCCAACTATTTTTCCTACTTAAAACCCTCTCCCTTCCACAAGCAGCGAAGCCCCCAAAAGGCATCTCTTTAGCCTGGCCCAAGGAGCATTCAGCACACAGACAGCATAATGCCCTTCCATTTCAAATTAGATCATAGCAACGTCATCCTGACCTTACAAAGAGCCTTAAGCCACACGTAACCTCTTACAAAAGCAGCTGCTGCCAGGGATGGTGTGGCTGGCTTATGTGGCTCTGCTGCCTACCTGACCCCAGCCAGGTCCCTCCTTATCCCCAGATCCCTGCTGCACAGCTCTGTTATCTCTCACACACCTACCAAGCAGCACTAAAACCAGCAAAGCTAGAGTTCCCTGCAATCCAAGCCTGAACAAAAAGGCAGATACCCAAAGACTACCCAGACATCTAATACATACGTGGCCATAAGAACACCTAAGTTCAATCACCAGCTGTCAAGGAACTGTTTTGTTGCTGCAGGGTTAGTCCCACCATACCTGTATTACCGTGCTGCTGAATGAGGCTCCGTCATCCCACAAAGAAAGTATAAATGATGAACAAATCTTTAGGAAGTCCTCTTGGGTACAGACCTGTGCTGTTCTTCCCTGAGCCTCTGGTAACTTCTAAACAGCCCAGATTTTCCTAACTGCTCAATACAGAAAACAAACGCCCCCCTGCACCACCTCACCAAACTCAATGCCTGGAGCAGGGAAGCAACGCTGCTCTTGCTGACTTTTCTGAAGCATCTCTGTCTCTCCTTGTTCCTCCCACCCACAAAACAGCAGGAGAACATCAGTGAACCCTGACCAACAGAAGAGAAACATCCCAGCCAGGATGCTGCTCCCCTCTCCTTCCCCTGAAATCTTCTACCCTCTATCATGCAGACAGGAATGTAAAGCTGCTCAAATCATTTGTGATTATTTCATCCAAGCCCAGGGAAATTGGGAAGGAGTAACAAACTGAGCGCTGGCTTCCAGTGCACCCCTACCTTTTGCTTTTGCTCCCTCGCAGCCAAGTTCAGCTCCTCACAGTGGTGACAGGTTTCAATCTGAGCAGGCAGGCAGGCAGAGAGCTGAGCTATTTGTGAGCTGCCTAATTACCATGCTGCAATTTTAAGGCAGCCAATGGAAATTGCTCGCTGATCTTTAATCTCCTCTTGTACTTTCCGCTCTGCTCCCTGCTCTCTTGGCAGGTGAAGTCACAGTCAATCACCTTTAACAAGCTGATGGATGCCAGCACTTGCTGGCACGGCGGTGGGACACAGTGCCTTTGGGATTTCACCTTCTGCAGAAAATGTTCTTCTTTTGGACTGAAGTTGGCATGGCTGCTGCTCCCAGCCACTGCTCCATCTCAGCTCAGTGATTAACACAACTGTCCGTAATGACAACACATTCCTTATTTGCCCAAACCTCCAACCAGCACATTTCCAGCCCCTCTGCAGTGGAACACAGCACATCACCCAAGCTCTCTGCCTGGAACTGCCCCACTTTGGCTAAAATATTACAATATCAGAACAAAAAACTGCACTCAAGGTGTCTGACCAACGCAGTGGTCTTTTATAATGGAGCAATGGCATCGGTGGACAAAGGCAGAGCAACTGATAATGCCTACCTGTACTTGTGCAAGGACTCTGACGTGGTCCCATACAACGTTCTTAGCTCTAAGTTGGAGAAAGATGGATTTGAAGGGCAGGCTGTTAGGCAGAAAAAGAATTGGTTGGATGGTCACAGTTAGAGGGCTGCTGTCAATGGCTCTACATCCAGGCAGAGGCACAGGGCAAGCAGTGACCTGGCTCCATGTCCCCAGAGAATGCCTAGGCTGGTCAACCTCAACCTGTAACTCCAGCTTCTGTGTTTCTACAAGCCTCCTTTAAACCTACAGCCTCCAAAATCCTCAGTGGACAGGACTAAGTTTCCTTAAAGTCTTGTATTGGAGGCTCTTGACCTCCAAACACATCCCTCCATCAGATGCCAAATGTTCTGCCCAACCAAATACCAAACCTCTCCAACACCCAGTTTTCCTTTTCTGGACATCTGGATGTTAAGAATCTTGCACCTGTGCTGTTATTGAACTGAAAGCCAGGGGTGCCAGCCACTTGCTGAGGTCCTGGTTTGCAATGAAGGCTGCTGGCACTTGGCTGTGAGGGAGGAAGGCTGCAGGTGAACCACTCAAGGATGGCTGAGCAGGGAGCTGTGCCCTGAGGACCTGGATTCCTTTGTGTCTGATCTGTGTGACACTTCTCCACATTCTGCAACCCCTCCCTTTACTTCCCCCCCTCCCAGCAATACTGAGAAGTGAGAAGAGACAGGTGTTGCAATCACGTCTCACCTCTTTAAAAAGGCTGAAAGTAAACTTAAGGACTGGCAGATGTTTATTCCTGCCTCCATCTTCTTTGCTAGAAACCTCTACAGCAAAACAAGACAATTTACAGGAAAACACCCCATCCATTTTCACTGCCAGTTGAAGAGGCTGAGCCCTCTGCATGCAGCAAACAGAGAGCATCCAGCTACAAACTGGAAATCCACACCGCTGTGGAACAAAACCAGCTCAGCACTGGTTTTATTTTTTCAGCTCAGATTTTGGCTCTTTCAGAGCAGTTGATTCTCAAACACAAAGGATCTCTCCTGATGTGGTTTCGAACCCAGCCTAACCACCACGGGTACCCAAACCCACAGCAGTGTGGTTTTGCAGCTGCAAGATGAAGGCTACAGAGATGCTGTTGGGCTGCAAAATGATACAGGGTGCAAACAAGAAACCATCCCAAAGGCAGGGAGCACATCTCCCTTTAGTCCTGCTTGCTACAGGCAAGGTGAATTTTACTTGGCAGGTGGCAAGCCCACCAGCAGGACAAAGGCCAGACATCACAAAGAGTTAAACATAATTAATGCTGATTAGCAGAACAGCTTTGAAGAGAAGGCAAAGCCCCACTACAAAGGAGAAAAGCAGCTTAAAGGACAGTTTGTTGGGAACCCCAGCTAAGGACTCCTGGATTAGGAATAAAATCCCATTCCCTATTTTTAGCACGTTCTCCATGAACTCCCAACTCCTCCTTTCTAACTTTTAGGACTGATTCTTAACAGCTGCTGGACACACAATCATTAACCAGGAGCCACAGGAACTATGCAGAACAGGGCTAGAAGGAGAGGCTGCTTGAACACACTGTGGGTTGTTTTAATAAAAGGCATTACTCGCTTTTACCCTTCCTCCAAACTTTTTCTTTGCCCTCTTGAGTGGTTCCATTTGTGACACATGAGAAGAGAAGGGCAGCTCTCTGCTTGCATGGAACCACACCTGAGCACCAGCCCAGCAATTGGGCTGTCTCACCAGCCATGTGAAAGAAGTCATAGAACCATAGAACAACAGAATCACCAAGGTTGGAAAAGATCTCCAAGATCATCCAGTCCAACCGTCCCCTTATTGCCAATAGTTCTCATTAAACCCTGCCCCTCAGCACAGCATCTAAATATTCCTTGAACACTTCCAGGGTCAGCAATTCCACCACCTTCCTGGGCGTCCACTCCAGTGCCTGACCACAGAATGGCCAGGGTTGGAAGAGACCTCAAGGATCACGAAGCTCCAATCCCCTGCTTGCAAGCAGGGCCACCAACCTCCACATTTCATACCAGCCCAGGCTGCCCAGGGCCCCATCCAACCTGGCATTGAATACCTCCAAGGACAGGGCATCCACAGCCTCTCTGGTTCCAGCTCTTCTTCACTTTATCTGTAAAGAATTTTCCCCTGACATCCAACGTAAATCTTCCCCCCAACTTAAAACCATTTCCCTTTCTCCTGCTGTTATCAACCCTTTCAAAGAGTTGACTCCCCTTCTGTTTGTAGGCTCTGAAAGGCTGCAATGAGGTCACCCCACAGCCTTCTTTTCTGCAGGGTGAACAAGCCCCGCTCCCTCAGCCTGTCAACAAAGTAACGAGGATCCAACACAGGTATGATAATTAAAAGCAGATTCAGTGTGCTATCTCCTGCCTTCATTAATTCTATATGGGGATTTCTCTGACCCACAGCTAGCAATTCCTTCCTCCTTCACAGAGAAGCACTGACAGGAGCTGAGCAGCCCCATGCAGCTGGCAGGCACACCGAGCCACGTTTTACCTGCAAACGATCACCAAAAATGCTAATTTAGAATCATAGAATCGCTCAGGTTGGAAAAGATCTTAAAGACCATCAAGCCCAACCACAACCTAACCATATTACCCTAACTCTAGCAGCCCTCTGCTAAACCACGTCCCCGAGCATCACAGCCAGGCTGCTTTTAAACGCATCCAGGGAAGGTGACTCAACCTCTAATGCCCAGACAGAGGTATCTGAAGAGAGCAGTAAGGCCTCCCCTCAGCCTCCTCTTCCCCAGACCAAACAGCCCCAGTTCCTCCACTCTCTCCTCACAGGCCATATTCTCCAAGCCCTTCCCCAGCCTTGCTGCCTTTTTCTGGACCCGCTCCAGCACCTCCACGTCCTTTCTGTACCGAAGTGCCCAAAACTGAACACAGAATCTCCTCCCCAAGCCTGCAGGGCTCCCTGGGGGACAGGCAGGGGACGGCTGGGCTCTGAGCGTCCTCACCAACCCGAGGAGGCCCAGCACCCCTCGCACACAGCTCCCTCGGGATGCCGACCCCCTCCCCTCGCTCTCCTCGCCCTCTACCCGCCCGTTTCCCCACACAGAGCCGCTCCCTCCCGCCGCTCACCCGCCGCCCGGGCGATGGCCCCGCGCAGCCGCCTCCAGCTCATGAGGGGAGGGGAGCAGGAGGGGGGGGGGGGGGGGGAGGAGGAGCGCGGCGCTGGGGGATTTCCGTCAGCCCCTGCTGACGTCACGCGGGGCGGCCAGGCGGGAGGTGCGCCGCTGGGTGAGGTCACGTGAGTGGGAGAAACCATGAACGCGGAGTGGGGGGGGGGGGGGGCGGCACGTGCTTTGTCTGTGAGGAGGGAGCGGCGTGAGGGGTCGGAACGAGTGGAGGGCGTGGGTTGAGGGCACCGCGGTGCCGGGAGGTGGCGGCGGGGACAGCGGTGTTATGGGCGGCGGGCCGTGCGCTGAACCATTGCGGGATGGGGGGGTGTTTGCCGGCTGGGGGGAGGACTGCATGGGGCCAATCCATTGCGGGGTGGGGGCGCCATCTTGGGGTCAGGAGCGCGGTGAGGGGCGGGCGCCATCTTGGATCCGAAGTGAGGGGCGGGCGCCATCTTGAGGCCGGTGTGGGGGTGGGCGCCATCTTGAGGCTGAGGGTTGGGGGTGTCCCCGCGCTCTGCTGTGGGGATGTCACGTCATGCCAACCATCCCCTGAGAACCATCCCTGTTCCCAGGTTGACCCCAAGAGGCAGCGCGGCGTCCCCTTGCGCAGAGCACAATGGAGGCTGTGTGGAGAGCACTGAGGTGAGAACGGTGCTTGGCCCTTGGGAGCCCCAGTCTGGGGTCTGAAGTGCGTGTTCATCACCTGCTCTGTGGTAATCAACCCTTATGCTCTCAGGAGAGACATTATGTATTTTGGAGTTGTCCACAGAATCGCAGAATAGCCGGGGTTGGAACGGACCTCAAGGATCATGAATCTCCAGCCTTCCTGCCATAGGCAGGGGTCCAGGCCTGGTGCTTGGTGCTTTCCCACAGATCAAGCTCAGGCAGGAAACTGTTGACACAGTATTTATTCGCAGAAGTTACAAAGTTAGTAGTTTTCCAGCTCTTACCATGATTGGTTGCAGTCTTTCCTACAGTTATAATGTGGCTGGATTTATACCTCCATTACTACCTGTTCAGGGGAAAAGCCTTCGCCTGGCTGTGCTTTCTAGTGCTGTAATGAAGGCACTGCAGTGAAGGATTCGTGGGTTTTCTTTATAAGTTGGCAACGTCCCCCAGAGTATCACAGAATCATTAAGGCTGGAAAAATTCTTGACTATGAGAATGGTGAGGTGCAGGAACAGCTGCTCTCAGAGGCTGTGGATGCCCCGTCCCTGAAGGTGTTCAAGGCCAGATTGCATGAAGCCCTGAGCAGCCTGGTCTGGTATTAAATGTGGAGGTTGGTGGCCCTTCTTGTAAGCAGGGGGTTGGAGCTTCATGATTCTTGAGATCTCTTCCAACCCAAACCATTCTGCGATTCTGTGAAAAGACTGCTCCTGATTAATATTCCCTTCAAGGCCTCCTGACTCTGGGTGTTTGTTGGTTAAGGAAGTATAGCAAGTATTTGTTCTTCCAACACCTAATGCAATGGAACTAGGTGATCTTGGAGGTGACTTCCAACCCAAGGCATTTTGTGATGCCATCCAGAAAGATCCAGACAGGCTGAGTGGTGAGCCCAGGTGAACCTCATGATGTTCACAAATCCAAGTGCAAGGTCTGCACCTGGGTTATGGCAACCTCCACTGTCACGTCATGGGATGTAAGGATGGGACACAGCCCTGCTGAGTGGGAGCTGGAGATGCTGGTGGATGGCAGCTGGGCCTTCCCACCCCAAAAGGCAACTGTACCCTGGGTGCATCCAGAGCCATATGTGACCAGCTTTCAGCATGAGGAAGGGAGTCTGTCCCACTTGTCTGTGTTGTCAGACCTCACCTGGAGTGGTGCATCCAGATTAGGATGAGGGTTTGGCAGAGAGGCACAGGTTGCCTGTGGAGGTGGTGATGTCCCATCTCTGGAGACACTGGAGGTCATGGATGGGGTGGTGAGCACCTGATGAGCTGTGGGTGACCCTGTGCCCTGCAGGGAGTGGGACCAGATGGCCTTTAGCTCTTGGAGCAGGACCAGAGTAATGCCGCTAAGATGATCAGAGGGCTGAGCACCTCTTCTATGAGGAAAGGTTGAGGGAAATGGGCTTGTTTAGCTTGGAGAAGAGAAGGCTGCAGGGAGACCTCATGGTGGCCTTCCAGTACTTGAAGGGAGTGTATAAACAGGAGGGGGAACGGCTGTTTGTGAGGGTGGGTGGTGACAGGACAAGGGGAATGGTTTAAAGTGAGACAGGGGAGGTTTAGGTTGGATCTGAGGAGGAAGTTTTTCCCCCAGAGGGTGGTGAGGCACTGGAACAGGTTGCCCAAGGAGGCTGTGGATGCCCCATCCCTGCAGGCATTCAAGGCCAGGCTGGATGTGGCTCTGGGCAGCCTGGGCTGCTGGTTGGCGACCTGCACACAGCAGGGGGTTGGAGCTGGATGAGCACTGGGTCCTTTTCAACCCAGGCCATTCTATGATTTTACAGTTCCGTGACCCTCACAGGTCCCTTCCAACTCAAATAGTGCTACAGTTCACGACTGCTTTGCCTCCCGCAGCGCCCTGCAGCCCCGCTGCCTGCACACCGCCTGCAGCCGCCACAACTCCAACCGCACCTCCATCACCCACCTGCGCCGCCAGGTGTACGGCCGCCTCTACCCGCTGCTGCTGGTCCGCACCGATGGCTCCACCATCCACATCCGCTACAAGGAGCCCAAAAGGATCCTCATGGTAAGGGACGCGGCCCAACAGCTAGAGATAAGGGCGCTCGGGGGGTGTGTTGCTTTCGGTGCTGCAGCCTCACTCTCCCGTCACTTGCTCCCCAGCTGCCCTTGGACAGCAGCACGCTGCCTGAGGCGGAGCGCAAGGCCCGGCTGCGGCGGCAGTTCCCCAGCAAGCTGCAGGCCAAGCAGGAGGAGGCCTTGGAGGAGCTGGACTTGGAGAAATACAAGAAATTTTGGAAGAAGTGAGGCACCGATTTGGGATCAGCCCCCCCACCAAAACTCCCTACCAAGCGGTGGCTGATGGACACAGCTATAGAAATAAAGAGAAGAGCAATTTTGTTAAGAACTCATTTGCGGTTTTTCGCTGGTTTTGCCTCATTTCACGCCTGCTTTGGGCGGCTCAGGGCAGCATGGCCGTTCACCCTCACCCTCCCCTCCCCTCTGCGTTATGGTGGTACCGCCCGCCGCCCCTCCCGGCCCTGTGGTAGCGCCCGGGGCGGGGCTACAGCGCGCGGGCCCCGCGGCCCGGAGAGGTGCGTGGCGGGGGCTGGGCCGGGCCGGGCTGGGGGGGTTCCGGGTTGGGCCTTTTTCCCCTCCAACGCTTCTGTGATCCTGAGTGTGCGGCACCGGCCTTGGGGTCGCGGTTTCCCCCTTCAATCTCTTACCGCTGGGCGGCCTCCCCCGGGCCGTGCGGCCCCCCCTTGGGCCGTTCCAACTCATGCAGATCCATATTGCCAGCCCAGCTAACCTCCCAACCCACTCAGACCCTCATTGCCAGGCTACGTGCCCCCCTGTAATCCATGCCAGCCCATTTCCAGCCCATTTCCAGCCCATGCGTCCCCAGTGGGCCATGCAGTTGCCTCCCCCCAACCCACTACAGATCCCACGGCCAAGCTTTGCAACCTTCCCCCCCTCCTCTCCCAAACCCGTTGAAACCGCCATCTCCAGACTCCAACCCCACTATCCACGCAACCCTCCCCAAAGCTTTGCATCCTCCTCCACCTCCAGACATTGCACAATCCACCCCATACTTTGCCTTTCCCCCCTGTTCTTTACAACTCCCCCCCCCCAAGACCTCAGCATAACCCCTGCTTGATACCTAAAGCTTCCTATGGCTTTAGGATTGCAATGGGGGCCACCTCCCTGCCCCCCTCCTCATCGCACTGCAGGGGAGCCCTGCGTCTCCCTCATCCCTCCCCCAGTGCATTGCTGGGAGGCCCTGCACCTCTCCAGTCCTCCCCCCCTTGCACTGCAGGTGCAGCCTGCTGTTCTGCCATGATAACGGGGCCCATCCTTGCAGCACCCCATCACCATGTTCGGCTCATCCCGAGGAGGGGTCCGGGGGGGCCAGGACCAGTTCAGCTGGGAAGATGTCAAGACAGACAAACAGCGCGAGAACTACCTGGGTAAGGCCTTCATCCCTGGCCCTGTTTGTGGGGTGAAGATAAGGGGCTGGGGACAACACGGGGCCTTGTGTCCCTGCAGGAAACTCCCTGATGGCACCGGTGGGACGCTGGCAGAAGGGCAAGGACCTGACGTGGTACGCCAAGGGCAAGCAGGAGCCCGCCCCGCTGTCCCGCGAGGAGGAGCTGGCAGCCGTGCGCCTGGCTGAGCAGGAGGCCATGATGGCAGCGCTGTGAGCACCCCCCTACAAATCCCCTGTGACACTCCCCCCAAAAATAGCCACTCTGAACATCCCCCCCCCCCAAAAAAAAACCATCCAAAGGACCACGCAGTCGTTGGTCACCTTCACCAAGAGCTCATGGTATTGAACCAGCTGAATGTCCTTTTATGACGAGGTCGCCCCTGTGGTTGACCAAGGCAAGCCAGTCGATGTTATCTTTTAGGATTCCAGTTGAGCTTTTCTTGCTGTTTCTCACAGCGTGGAGAAACATGAGCAGGCAAAACCATGCGACGGTGGGTGAGCAGCAGGTTGACAGGTGCAAAGGGGTACAGCACCAGGGTTCCATTTGGCTGGCAACCACATGTTGCTGGTGCTCCAGTTATCTGTAGCATCTTCATTGGTGACTTGGGTGTTGGACAGGAGTGTGTTCTGAACAAGATTGGTGCTGCTGATAGAATGGGAGGAGCTGTTGACTCCATCGAGGGTGGAGAGGCCTTGGGGAGAGATCGAGATCTTTCGTTAGGGAAAGGCTCTGCCCCATTGCACAGTAGGCATGGAATGGAGGTCCTGGAGCAGTGGGCTCTCAGACGCAGGGATGGGATGTGGGTGGTGCTGTGCGGAGCTGGGGGTTGGACTTGAGGATCCCTGTGGGTCCGTTCTTACTGGGACGTGTTGTGACTCCATGGTTCTGTGACTCTAGGGGCTACAAGAACGTGAAGAGGCAGCCCACAGGCCTCAGCAAGGAGGTGAGGGCATCCCCGCTGTCCCTGTAGGTCAGGGCATCCCCCATGCTCTGTGTTTTTATGGGATCTCAACGCTTTGCCTACAGGACCTGGCTGAGGTGTGCAAGCGGGACAGCGCAGAGCGAGCCGAGGACGTGGATCGGGTGGTGGGCTTGGGCAGCTCCAGGTGGGCACCGAAACGCTGCCTTTCAGAGCAACTTTTTAAAGACAAAATGCCATTCTTATGTTGGTCTTTTAATTTTGTGGCCCATGGACGTGGTTTCCGCCTGCAGCGGCAGCGCCGGGCGGGTGATGCTCTCCAAGGAGGACAAGGAGGCAGCCAAGATGGGGCTCTCTGTCTTCACGGTACGTTGGGTTGATGTGAGATCATGAAAAATCCACGGGCGTTTAGGTTGGAAGTGATGTTTGTTCCCAAAGTTCTCTTTGAAAGGCAGAAAGAGCTTTTATCCTGTGTGTGTCGCTCAAAACTCTGGGCAGGCCCACGCACTCGCTCTGTGCTTTTCTCTTCCCCGTGCTCCAGCACCAGAAGGTGTGCAGCAGTCCTGAGGCGTCGGGCTCCAAGAGGAAGCAGGACAAGGAGGAGAAGGCAGAGGAGAAGCGGTGAGGACCGGGATGCGTCCCGCACTGCCCTGCCCTGGTTGGTGGGTCAGAACCAGCCAGGAATGGCCGTGCTTTTCTTGGCAATATTGTGCTGAACCGAACATTTTGCATCACAGCTTGGTTTGGGCTTGTCCTGCTTCAGTCTGAATCCCCCTAAACCTCTGAGTCACCCTCAAAACTCCTTGTTTTTAATTGCTTCTCCTTTATTAAACAGGCCTGGTGAAGGCCCAGCAGGGGTGGGTGTTTGGCACAGAAAGGGTTGGAGGGGTTTGCAGTGCAGGAACCCATCAGTGCTGCCCTGTTCTGCTCCACAGGACGGAGAGCAGCAAGAAATCCAAAAAGGAGAAGAAGAAAAAGAAGAAGAAGAAACACAAGAAGGAGAAGAAGAAAGACAAACACCACAAGTGGGACACCACCCCATCATCCTCCGCCTCCTCTCCCGACCGGGATGAGAGGTAGTGGGGTCAGAGGGGGAGGCACACGGCAGGGCTGTTCCCACGAAGTGACACCGTTCTGTCCCTGCAGACGCCACCGGAGTAAAGCCCAGGACCGCCCTGCATCCCACGGCGGCCGTCCCGAGGCATCGCGGCACCGGCACCGCCGTGACACGGACTCCTCCCACAGCAGCGGGGCCTCGGGCAGAAGCCCGTCCTCCCGCCGCCGGAGGGCGCGGAGCCGCAGCAGGAGCGGCCAGCGGCACCCGTCCCCGCGGCACAAGGGCAGGAGGAGGAGCAGGAGCCGATCTCCTCGATCCCACAGGGCCAGACAGCGTCACGATACGGATTCGGGTGACTGAGGGGTTGTCCTGGAGGGGATGTTCCATAGGTTAGATATTTTTTAAGGTTGTTATCTAAATTAAAGTCACAGCTTTACAACTGCCGGGGCTGCTGGCCTCGGTGCAGACTGGTTATTGCCTGAGTGTTACGATGTGGACGCTGTGTAACACAGCTCTGTGGGATCTATGGCTGTCACCTTCACTTCCCCTAAGTTAAACCTGGGGCAGCATCAGAAGCTCACCCTGCTGTTTGCTTCACCTGTGGTATATGGAAAATCAGAATAACACCATTACAGAATGGGAGCAAAATACAGCAGGTGCTCAGGCGCTCACTCCATGGATCTGTCCTCTCCAGACTGACCTCTGTGGGGTCCAGCATACAGCTCTGAGCCCCAGACGTATTTAATTTGGGGACACCTGGGTGTGAGCCACCAGTCAAGGCAGGAAGAAGCAGAGATGCCACAGCAGGGAGCTCTCTGGTAGGGCGACAGGCGTCGCTTTTGGCTGAGAAGTGGCCTCTGGCTAAAAAGGAAAGTGCTGAAATAAGTCCTTGGCAGACGGATGAGGCTGCAGCGCCTCCTGCACGTGTATGCAGAGCGCTGTTCCCACCTGAAACCTCACGACAGAAATACGGGTGTCTGTGTGCTCAGCGCAGGGTGCGGGTTTTCAATCCGTAACGAGCGATAGCGGTCCACGTGGAACGGGGGACGTCCCGAGCAGCTCCCGCTCGCGGGGCCGACAGCACGGAGCACAAGGGCCGCCTTTGTGTGAGCGGTGATGCCATTCCTCCCACTCGACACAGGGCTGGTCTGTGTGTCTTGGCAGACAAACCCCTCGTGCCGGGGGCCGGTGTCAGTTTGCACTTGGGAGGTTTTCAGGCTCTTCTGTTACCAGAGGGGCTGTGCCACCGCACTGCCTGCAGCCCACGTGGAACAAGGGCTGCATTCATTGCAGCGGGAGGAGCTGGAATAAAGCCCTTCTGTCCGGCTCCCCTCCCGGCTGTGGGCATGTGCTTAACCCAGTTGGTGCGGGCAGCAGATGTTGCATGCCTTCTTTTTTTTTCCCCTTGAGATGGTTTTTTTTGGGTGGGGTTGATGCTCTGTTAGCAGCACTATGGCGTGAGTCCTCTTCATGTGAGCGGCTGCAGCCCCGTGTCCACATGTGATCCGGTCGAGTCCAGGCCTTCTCCCTGAGCTCGCTGCCTTCAGGGTCACCTACTGCTGCTTTCTGGGGTCTGGGCAATGGCCGGTGCTCCCTGGGAGCATCCCAGCACAGGGCAGTGGTGGGAAAGTGGAGCAGCACGGCTGTGCTGCCTGGGAAAAGTTAATGCAGCTCCAGGCTGTGAAGGGAACTAAAAGTCTGCGCCAATCCCAGGGCCCAGCTTGGGACACTGCTCTCATTCAGCTTCATTTCCAAGCAGGGCAGGATCCTCCCCAGGATCTGAGCGCTTTGAAGGTGAGGGTCAGAGAAGCCCCCTGAGGCGGCTCACGCCATCCCAGGCTGCGTCCCCTCCTGCAGTCCCTGCTTCTGCTCCCACCACTGCCATCAGCTCACCTCCAAGCGCTGTCTGAAGAAGGCACCTATGCCTACTTCACACCCAACTTCACA